AATATAATATAATATAATATAATATAATATAATATAATATAATATAAACCCCTTATTAACTTTAAGTATTTATTTACATACGTAAAGTTACTGTAGCAACCAGAATCAATACAAAGTATTTGCATTTGTTAGGTAACTATTTGGTTTAGTTATTGCACAATAAAATTTTATAATAAAATTTGATTTTGTTTGACTAATTAAAATATTAAAACGACTAAGATTTTCAGTATCAGTAAAGTTTATCATCCGCTAATATACAGGATGGAAAAAATCAATAGGGCATGAAGGGAGACATAGCATATTTCGGAAGTCGCGGATCCGAGACGGACCTATTTCGGTTCTTCTGGATGGCCAATTAACTTCCGCGAGTTAAGAGTTATTACTGTTTATTTTTTAACAAGTAAAACACGTCATATTGAACCTTGTGCCGGAGAAGGATCGAAATGACATACTAATATCAAAATTCGATTTCATGGTAATCTCTAATCCTAAGACCCAATGATTATTGGAGAGATTTTATCCTTATCATTGATCCTTTGGATTAGTACGATAAAATAGTGAGTATTATTTATTTTAGAATTTTTAGTTAATTCGATTCCCACCTCAGGCAATCTTTTCAACTTATCTGTGAATACAGTTTTTCACATTAAGAAAAATAAAAGAATTTTTATTTACGAATAGAAATTTTTACTTTACGAGTCGATACTACCTCAGCTTGAGTTCAATTTTTTTTCCGTACTGGATCGGTTCTATTGCGCGAGTCGAGCCGCAGGAACACTAGCGTCATTTCACCATTTGTCAATTTAAATTCCCAGTTGACGCTTTAACTTTTTTCAATCTAACAAGTCTCGAATAGTTGCTATGTTTTTAATTGGTCCAAGTGACTTCCTAGGTTTTTGACGGGTCACGAAGCAAACTAAATGTGCCTTACTAGATTTTAAGGTTTCTAAATCTCTGGTAATTTGAGGGATTTTGTAGTGACTGTCTGCGGTTTGGTGAGTAATTAATTACTCTGGGAGTAGTATTCCGTCGATAAATTATTTCCAAAAATTATCCCTTACTAGGTTTTGCTCTGGGACAGCCGAGAACGTCCAGCAATCCTGCTGAACAGTAGATGTTTACTATAATATTTGTTATTTCTACTGATCTTTACAAATGTACCTTGTGAGACGCCCGCAGCGTCGGCGTCGCCGAGCGTTCCGGCGAGCCTGGCCTTCTCCAGGAATTGCGAGTTGAAACTTGCGGCTATGAACGGTTATCGATTAACGCTCGACACGCTCTCTGCGCTTGATTTTTGTATATTACGTAGACTTGTAGTTAGACATTATTAGACAATTGTTATAATAATAAATTACTACCTTTATTGATACATAAATAAAATTATACACTATAAGACCATTTCATTTACTCTACTAATTTACTGGACTTGTCAAATTTTTAATAATACCTTTTACGAGTATATGTAATTGCGCCGCCTCATCGGACTTCTAGCGGGTGCATAGGAAAGCATAGGTGACTTGAAACATTTCCTCGAGGTGCCACAGGCCTACAGTCAGCGAAGATGACCAATCGGAGACAGCGTCGCGGAGGGTCGCGCAGGCGCCGCCCTCCGTCCTCCCGACCCCCGTCGAGCTATATACGGAGCGCGGGCGCCGCGGCGCGCACTACGCCGGTGCATCCCTCCGCCGACGGCCCACGAGCGCGCGCCCGCGACGAACGAGTTCCGCATGGCGCGAGCCGTGGCGCGGCGCGGGATCCCGCGCGGCTGCACGTCGCGGCCCTTCGCCGCCGCCGCCGTGCTCGACGCGCTGCGCTGCTTCGACGACCGCCGCGTGAGTAGCCGCCGGCGTGCGGCGCCGGGCGCCGGCCCCGCCTCACGCCCGTCCGTCGCAGGTGTACGTGGAGCCCAGCGAGGGCCGCCTGGCCGCGGCGGGCGCCGACTCGCTGGCCGCCGTGGCCGTGCGCGCGCGCCTGGCGCCCAACCACCAGGCGCGCTCGGCGGCGCTGGCGCTGGCGCCGGGGACCAGCGCCGCGGCCTCCGCCGGCGCCTGGCTGCAGCTGCGCGCCGCCGCCGACCTCGCGCCGCACGACGAATTGCTGCTGTGGCCGGACGACGAACTGCTAGCGCGGCTGGCGATGCCCTTTCTTACCTTGACCAATGTTTTAGGTTGGTACCCGCTTCGTTCTTTTTTACCGTTTCCGATACCAAACCTACTCGGAAAGACGACCCTTTTAAGCGAAAAAGACAACATAACAGTTTTAGAAGACTCCTACTTTCGACTCCACCACACTAATTTCTTTACGTAAGCTCCATGTTTTTTTTATTGTCTTTTTTTATTAGTTAAGCATATTTCAATAATTTCTCCTAGGTATTAAACGTCCACTGTTTTTACTAAAGTGTTGTGTATAGCTATAATTGGATTGCAGGTTTATATTCATTAATGTAGAATAGTTTTGTTAATATATGTTCTGATCTGTAATCTGTTGCTGTACCTTATCCAATAAAAAAATATACAGTGTGGAAAAAATCAATGGTACATGAAGGAGAAGTACCTACCTTAAATGCTTAAGGTAGCTAATTTTACTTAATATTCTTTGATTTTTTTTTAATATGAATAACTGTATTCACAGATTTTTTTAATCTCGCCTGAGCCGCGAACCGAACAAACTAAAAATGCAATTAATAAACTTGCCCACGCAAACTTTTAGAAAAATATGTAAATGCAGTTATCCATATTAAGAAAAATGTTTTCTTGAAGTACCTAAAATTAACTATCTTAAGCATTTAATGTACTTCCCCTTTATGTCCCATGAATTTTTTCCACCCTGTGTATTAATGTATATTGACAAAACAATATAATATACATATATATCATTGTATTAGCAGCAGGTGAGCTCCTTGTGAAAGAGTTCAGGGTAGTGCTGCCACCTTACCTATTTCTGCCGCCAAGCAGTAATGTCATTGCTGTGTTCCGGTTTTGAAGGGTAAGGATACTCTGGTGAAATTACAGGCACATAGGACTTGTCAAGTCATGTCTCAAGGTGATGGGCGCAGTGGTAGTGGCCCTCAGATTTTGCAATTTAAAGCTCTAGTGGGTACGCTTGAAACAGTTTTCAATAGACTTCAAGTTTTCGCCACTTCAAGTTTTGGGTAGCAAAGAGAGGCCTGTGCTTTCGAAAGCGTTTTTGGAAACGACTCAAAAGCAAAATAAGATTTTAAATTATTTTCTAAACCTATGGAGACAAGTTTTTCTCTGTCCTCCGATAGGTGGGAAGACCGGGAATATTTTTCCCCATGCCTCCGATAACATGGCTTTTTATCACTTGAATAAACGGAGTCACTATTGTTTGTGTCTCTTCCTAAATCATTCGGGTCATCACAGGCTGGAATTATTCCAAATTTGAATAATGAGAACATTTCAGGGACCTGCTTGATCACCTTTGACATTGTTTTAGGGAGAATGAATGGTTAAAAAAATTCTAATATTGTCAATATTGTCCAAAATTGCAATATAAACGGTTGTCATTTACCATGAGCCTGACTGTTTCAGGAACATAATGAGCCTAACATATTGAATAAAAGACCAAAGCTGTGTGAAAACAACTTTACTTTATGGAACGCTAAAGCCGAAAGAAGCGTCGGCACACGTTACGTACAAAAAATGCCTGTTAAGAAACTAATAGCAAACATTTACAATTATATATTTGAAAAACTATTTAAAACTATAGGCGCTGTTACCTTTCTTTTCAGCTCCGCGGAAACAGCCAGGCAAGTTCATGACCAGGTCATGAAGTGTGGATTTCATGAGTGGACTTGATGGGTCCGGAATGATACAATTTCATTGAAATTCCTAAAATATTTGAATTTCGCTCGTTTCACACATAACGCTGATCTGTGCACAAGGCCAAAAGTGACACTTGATACAATTTTATTGAATTTCCTAAAATATTTGAATTTCGCTCGTTTCACTCATAACGCACATCTGTGCACAAGGCCAAGCGTGTCACTTAAGCTCAGGTCACACAGAGGCGGCCGCGGTAGCGTCACGGGCACGTGAATTTTTGTAATGTATTGTTGTATGGGATCTAAATTGTTTACTAAATACTCATTTCCTTAATATTATGCCATACTTAAAAAAAACTTGCTTAAACGTACACAGCTGGAAATTTGAAAAAATTGTTATGGGAAATTAAAGGTGTAATAGGTACTATGCAGAGTTGAACCACGAGCCAAAACCGTGCTCACCTGATACACACATGTTCGTTTTCGTCAATACGTTGTCCAACCTTTTCGTTACGTGTAGGTATTCGAAGCGCATAATAGGTCTTATTCAGAGTGGCGGCGGGTGCGCGTGCGGGTGCGCCTAAATCAAATGTACGTAGTCGCTCGTTGCGTTCAGTGGCCGCGCGCCCCAACGCTGTGTCGAAGCGGGTGAGGGCGCGGTTGCACGCGCGCAAATCTATTGGCTAAGTTCGCCCGTACCTTTCAGTGCTTGGTCTAGCGTCTACGATCTACCCGCTCGTAGCCGGTGCAGCACTGTGAAAGGGAAGACGCCAAGACCTCTCTGAATAAGCCCATAGGCGGCCCGACGACAGCTCAACGGGCTTCACGAATCCTCATTTGTTCCAGTAAGCGCAAACTCATCGACGGGCGGAGTTAGCTACGCTTGCCACTTGTGCCAGGCGCGCTTCGACCAGCCGCACCCGCTGAAGGTGCACCTGCTGCTCGGCTGCGAGCCGTACTGCCCACACGCCTTTTGGCGCCGCGTGCTACTCGCCGCCAACCCCCCGCCCGCCGCCGCGCCCCGGTCAGCCACGGCCCCGGCGGCACCGCCGCCCCCGCCAGGCGTCTCGCCCGCCGATCTGGAGGCGCTGGCCACGGCGTGGGGCCGCGTGCCCGCGGGTCACCTGTGCCTGTACTGCGGCAAGGTGTACTCGCGACGCTACGGGCTCAAGATCCACATCCGCACGCACACGGGCTACAAGCCGCTGCGCTGCCGCCACTGCGCGCGCCGTTTCGGCGACCCCAGCAACCTCAACAAGCACGTGCGCCTGCACGCCTCCGCGCCCTCGGCCGCCCCCTCCCGCTCCCCGCACAGGTGCGCGCGGCGCCCCCGCCGCCCCAAGCACCCCGCGCCCTCCCCGCCGCCCCCTGGCCCCTGACCGCAACGGGGACTTTGGGCCCTCGCGCACGGACTACTGCAAGGGCGCCTTTCAGTTTAGACGCTCTTAGAAGCGCTGCAGCCGCGCCACTACAAATTTTCATACATTTAGAAGCGCAGCGGTACAATTAGTCATCGAGTATATAGCCAGAAATGAAGACGAAATGTCATTTAGTTTGTTTGAAAACTATTATGCCAAATCATTACTGAGACAACTGCGCTCCGATTAGCCAGCTCGAATTCGAGACAATTGACGGGTGTCGTCAATTGTTTCATTTCAATAGACCAGTTTAACTTGAGCGTAGCAATAATGGACGAAAATTGAAAAATTACATATTTAATTACTGATTAAACGTGGTACAGTTTGTTTTGTAATTAGATGTTTTGCCGTTTTTCTCACACCACCCAATGGAATAGCCCCCATTGTTCTCTATTACAACACAGAATATTTTTGGAATATACGGAAACGTACACACAGGTCAGTCGCTGGCGCTGTACTAGTTGTTTTCTAAATTTGTGATTTCAGCACAAACGAGAGTTGATATTTAAAAGTGATATAAGGCCCATTTACCTGAGGAGTTGTCAAGGACGGAAGGCCCTTATTTTGTCTCTATTTCTGGTTATATATTCGACGCAATTAGTGAACTAAACATTCCTGTTGCGCCACAGTCGCGCCTCTGAAGCGTTTCTACAAGCGTCTAATTTGAAGGGGTTAACTAGGTCTAGGTGTAAATGTACATAGGCGTAAATTTATGTGATACAATGATTAATTCTTTTGTTTAATAAAAAGCACCTTAGAGATTATCGATTATGTAGTACAAAATAAAACGACTGTTGCAGTTTTTTTGTTTTATTACTTAGTCTTACGCTACTGGGGTCACTGCGCGGCCACCTTGGCGGCGATGCGCTTGTCGCGCTCCTCGGCGATGGTCAGGCGCACGCCCTTGCCGCGCGGCAGCGAGATGTACGCCTTCGTGCCCTTGCCGATGATGAACACGTTGTTCAGCCTGCACACACGACACTGCTTGACCGCCCAGCTTACACTAGACCCGTGCCCGGTTTGGTGTGCTTTATTTCATCCAAAGCCAAACCAAACTAAGTAAGCCTAAGGCCAATAAATTAGGACATTGAAACGAACTCACCTGGTAGCGAAGGTGTGTCCGGTGGAGTCCTTGACGTGGACGATGTCAAAGGATCCAGGATGTCGTTCGCGCGAGACGATAACGCCCACGCGCCCTAAATTTCTCCCGCCCGTGATCATGCACAGGTTACCCGACTCGAACTTGATGAAGTCCATGATCTTGCCTGATGCAATGTCCACTTGCACCGAATCATTCACCTTGATCAACGGGTCGGGGTATCTCAGCGTGCGCCCGTCGTGTGTGACTAAGAACGGCACATTCTTGGGACCTGTGGCCACGCGTCGCACCTTACACAGCTTGTACTGCAACACATACTCTTGTGTTAAAACTCTGCTTCCACACATTTACTTACATAGACCGAAAAAACAGAACGATTAATTGCGTCCCGGGTCTTGCCTAACTCCCATCTCTAGATTATGGTAAACATCACTTAAATAGACCAAAATTAGTCTTTTCTGGTTAGTAGTAGCAGAGTAGTAGTTGCTACATTAATACTTTTATTCATATATGATAGACAAGGGCTTGGCCACAATCGCGCTTGATGTTAAACAATGATGTGACTGATTTATTTATTTATTTATTCATACATTGCAAACTAACAGCTAAGTAGCCAAAGCGCTTACAAGTCATACAATTATTATGATAAGTATTACAATTCAAAAAATAGTTAACAGCAAATTATTCTAGTCCTTATTCTAACATGAGGTGATGAGGTATCCACATGCACAAAAATGCCTATTGATTTTCCATAGCCTTAAACATTGAGTATATAACCAGAAATAGAGACGAAATAAGGGTCATATATCCCTGGTAACACATTAGCGATATAGCTCATATAAAGATCAACTCTCGTTTGCACTGACATATAGGCAGGCCAACTACTGACCTGTGTGTATGTATGTATTATATATATTCTGTATTTATTGTAATAAAGATAATATCTCTGACAATGCCGTGCTGTTCTATTTGGTGGTGTGGGAAAAATACAAAACATCTAATTACAAAACAAATGGAATCACATTTCATCGGTTATTTAATAATAAATATGTCATTTTGCAATTTTCGTCCATTGTAGCAAAGCTCAAGTTAACTGGTTGATTTGAAGTGAAACAATTGACGACACCTGTCAATTGTTTCGAAATGGGGTAGCCAATCGGAGCGCAAATGTCACAGTAATGATAAGGCAGAATAATTTTCAAACAAATTAAATGACATTTCATTTCTATTTCTGGTTATATACTCGATGGCCTTAAATTAAACTTTTTGTGACACACAGTAGCATAGCCCATTCCTTTGCCTTACAGATTACATAGGCAGAAGTGCTTCTTGCGAATAGGTGATATGTCAATGACATGAGAATGGAGTGTTCCACGCTTCATAGTTGACCGTGAGCAAAATGAGGAAAGTTGAACAATAAATTTAAAAGTTAAGTATTTAAAAAGTACCTTGGCCTCCTCAGGTGTGATGCGATGAATAGTGAAGCGTCCCTTTACATCATAGATCAGCCGAAACAACTCATTTGTTTTCTCAATCGACACAACATCTGAAAGAAATAAAAACATAACAAACTTACAAATAATAGTTTCAGTAATTATTAGCACATTTTTATTTAATTGATGGCTGGAATTACCAACATTAACTTTAAGTATTGAGTAGGCACAATACAATTTAACTGGCTCTATGGCCAAATGGTTAGTAATATTTGAGAAATATTTGTATGGCCTACATTTATCTCGTAATATCATAAATAAAGAAATAAATAATGCACACATTGACAATGACAAATTATATCCAATGAGAGAAAGAAATGTAGGCCACACAAATATTTATCCAGGCCCGGGAATCGAACCCTTGACCTCTGTGTGGCAGACCAGCATGGTGATCATTCTGCCACCCAGGCAGTTTCTAGTGCATTACTCATTGTATAGCAGGAGCAGATACTATGAGTAATGCACACAGCATTAAAGAAAACAATTAAAACATAATCCTTTTTTATGCCAGTGATTTCTTTACTTTTAAAATATAGAACCTATAATATACATAAAAAAAAGAATATAATATAAATTAAAAGCAAAACATGTATTTTCACTTACAACAACTTATGTGGGATGTAACGATCTTAATTTTGTTTAGAGTGGTATAAATATTTACAATTAATTAATTGAACATGTTTAACTTTCATGACACTATTATACAACCACCTATCAGTAACAGCCTCTAAGTGTGAAATAATGATTACTACTGTATTGTAATTAATAAAATTTTAAATATCCCTGACTAGAAGTATATCAAATAGAACCTCGAAGAAGCACTAAAAAAATATTAGGTTGGTTTGAACCACACATGCCTGTTACTATTATTGTACCTGTTACTATCACATTAACTTAATATGCCTTACAAATCTGTGTAAAGCTAAATAGCTCAATTAAACTAACATTACTTTCACTCATATGTCTGGGTGCCTGCGGAATCTACTAACACCAAGCCTAGGCACCATTGATATAAATAAGTTACAATGCTCACCCATAAAACCAGCAGGGTAGGTGGGGTCGGTGCGCACTTTGCCGTCCACCTTGATTAGGCGCTGCTTCACGATTTTGAGCACCTCGTTACCGGTGAGCGCGTACTTGAGCCGGTTACGCAAAAAAATCACCAGCGGCAGACACTCGCGCAGCTTGTGCGGGCCTGTGCTCGGTCGCGGCGCATACACGCCGCCAAGCTTGTCTAGCATCCATGCCTTAGGCGCGTTCAGACGCTTCAAGTGCTTCTTTGGGCCGCGAGCCTGTACATAAACTTACATTTGAAAATCACCAGATATTTAAGCGCACGCTACATGCTATAGCTAGCGTGCTACGGAATAGCTTCCGCTAGCACTCATTTCTTCCTATTCACACAGCACAGCAGCCCTAATTTGTATTAATAGTACACTATAACTTAGACAAAATTTGATGTGTAAACTATATAACCAAAAACAAATTAAGGACCTATACACTTGATACAAAAATAAAAAGTGATTAATATTTTAAAGGGCATTCCCACAATAAATGTGCGACGCATAAACAATTTAAGTTTATTTACAAGACGATTTCTTTAGATTATTAATAACCTTTCGTAAAAACTCACCATGATGAGCACTAGAATTTGACAGAAAGAAAGACTTAGAAAACAAGCTGTCACTGTCACTGTCATTGAAATTTCTTAATATTACGTTCAAAAACGAGTTTTGAAGTATTGTTTAATTCTTAATGGTAAATTTTTCTTTCCCTTTGAAAATATTACGTTTCCTTTGTTGGAACTAGTGTTGAGTCATGGAAAAATCTCTATTTTGAAAAATAAAGTTTTTTTTATATCTTTTCTATATTTTTCCACATTTGCCAGTTGACATCTATCAAAAGTTGAAGATACTGACAAAAACCTTAGACTTTACAGCATATAAATCGGGAGGCGCTATGGCTATTAGCATTTCTTCTCGAACATAACTTTCTGCCACTTTGGGGGGGTGTACCACTAGCAAACAGGTGCATTCAAATGCAATATTTAGTTGTGTCACTATGATCCCACACAAACAAAAATCACAACACTAGCTTATTTCCACAAAACACAGTTAAAATACATATTCATGTCATGTCCGTACACAGAATAGGCCTATAAAAATAAATCGATTGTCATGAATATACTAGAGACGCACAGTTATCGACTACGCGACGGTATCGATATGTATTACGTACTGATTAATTACGTATATGTATAAAAAATGTAAATTCACCCTTGGCTAGACTGAATGTAGAGGATTTCTTTTTGCAATTTTGTGAGTAGTGTAACAGTGGTATTGTTTTACTTGAATTTACCAGAGGAGATTGCCCATTGACTTACCAATAAATGGATGACAATAAATACAATCCAAGGTCTAATCCAAAAACCGCGAAAAATATGTGGAGTTTTTCCGGCTTTTCGCATTCAGCGTTGGAGCCAATGACAAGCATAGTCGGAGTTAACCTATACAAACGTAGTGATATGTATAGAAATATAAAAAAAACTAAAACATTCAATTTAAATTGTAAAGTCATTGCAGTATAGCCTAATTTTGTTTGCCACAATTTAAAGGGCCAAAAATTATTCATATTCAGCTTCTACTGAAAATAACAAAATGCACCATATTTAGCAACTAGTGAAAACTACTTGAACACAAGACTGATGGAGTAGTCTTAATGTCAATATTAATTAATTTTATAGTATTATGTTGAATTTTATGCGAATTCACATCAAGTAATAAGAGTTGTGCAGATATATAGGTACATACAAATATTATAGATATGAAAATAGCTGTGTCTCTCTGTTGATAGTTCTGACGTGCTGTAAGAAATGTATCGACGTTTCGAATTTCTAGATTTCAACTAAACGTAAACTCAAAGTTTCATAGTCTCGGAAACCGATTTACAACAAAACTATTATGCTTTCAATGGATTTTGTTTGCTTATTAAAAAAAATTAAGTTATTTTGTTTTGTAATAATTCTAAAATAATCTAAAAAAATACATTTGGGCTTAAAAAAATTCGAGCAAATGTATTTTCGGACTTCTGATTGATAACTCCAAACGAATACAACAATATTTTGTTAGCTTTTTATTACTAACATTTAATAAAAAGTCATTTTAAAAATAAGATTAACATTAAATCAACTCTATAGTTTCTTTGTTCTAAATCTAAATATTTCAATCGCTTGTCGTTGGAAAATTGAAATTGACGTAACGGGTCTCTTTCTGTCTTTTGCGCATGTCTTGTGTAGGATAAGGACAGTTAGCTATTTGGTTATTTCGATTGCTTTTGTAATTTATGAGTATTGTATGTAAGTAATAATAATAACGCATACACTCAACATAGCCCAGCACTAGGGAAACCCTGTGTTGCGGGTGCCATGGACACACACATAGACAACCACAAATTATGTACTCGCATATGTACTTGTTATTTTTCTTTTTTCTAACAGTACGGCGTGATTTATGATGATTTATATTAAAACAATTACAATTTGTTTTCATTGTTTATAATGTATTACATTATTATTTATTATAAGGAGATTTATTATAAGAGAAATCAATTTGAATAAACTTCGTTACATAATCTATCGATAAAATATATAATAATCGGAGCTAAAGAGCACGTTCGCTTCTCTGTAACGATAAAACAGCGTTCATGAAGTATTGCTTTTATTTTATTTGGGATATTATGGTCAAGTTAACCTGCCTGCAATCACACTATTTACGTGTAAGTATGATGAAAAAACTATTATTATTATTGTTAGCACATGTGCCTATTCAACATTAGTGCATATCTGACTATAGGGACATACCTACAATTTATTCGTGCTAATGTTTGGATGAGACGTATTAAACTCATATTTGACAAGAAATTATGTAAATTGATAAACTGTCCAGTGCAGCAATTTTGTCAAGTTGGAAGATACTAATGGCCCTTGCCCTTGCAAAAGTTTCGCCAAACCCAAAGACGTGCCAAAGCCCGTTGCACTTGTTGTTTAAACTGAGATGAAATCACAGACAAAAAATTTAAACAAAGGTGATGCCATTACAAAAAATGTTCCACGAATAGTGAAACAGTGAAAAGGGCTGAAAATTAATGATAGATGTGTTATATTTTTTAAATGGTGTGCATGTACAAACAAAATATTATCAAATCATATTATTTATTTAAAACACCATATTTAATAAGATAATCTCAAAAAAATGTTTCTCGTGCATAGATTTTTATCCTATTGGCAATATTTCGGGGATGAACAATCTTTGCCTGTCCTTAGGGTTTATTCGATATTTTATTTTGATTTGTTATTTATAAACACAAATACATACTTATACTGTAAAAGTGTGAATAATTGATTGCTACAATACTATTACTTTAATAATTTAATAATTTATTAAATCAAATATATTTTATTGAGAATAATAAATTGGACAATAGTAAAATAGTGTTAAATTATAATGAACTGAAAATGAAAAGTCAGTTTTTGGTCAATAGGGTTGGATAACGGGTCAAGTCGTCGCGTTGTATCCCCACCAGTGAATCGCCGCGATTTTCTTCGTTCGGTTTCTGACGGCTGACGTCGTTATAGAATGTGTTGCTTGCTGTGTATGCGTCGTTTTGTTGAGTTTTTGTTTTTTAATTGTTTAGTTTTCGTTTTGTGTTATTTTTTTTGTTAAGTTTTGGTTTTACTCTGTTGTTACGTTTGTGTTTGTTTGCGTTCGTGTGAACATAACTACAATGGAGGCTGAACCAGGTCCTTCAACAAAAAAGACACTCTTTCACCGTAGAAAAAAGACCAGTATGTTTATAACACAAAATGTTTCTAAACAGTTTAGTGAATTTTTCAACCCAAAAGGGTATTATTTAATTATAATTTATTAGTCAGAATACAGTGAAACCTGTTAATAAACGAACGTGGAAAAAATGTTTATGGTCTATGAGACTCATCACTTTGACAGTGACAGTTGTTTATTTACATCTTTTACATTCGACTATTATCTCAGAGTTTAGTTAACATTTCTCACAGTAGATGTATTGTCTTAGTATTACAGGATTACCATAAATATTCAATAAAAATCATGCATTTTTTGTCTGTAGTTGACTGTCACTGTCACTAATTAAGGAACGTCATAGGGTTTCGCTCTGGACCTTTTGGAGGGAAAAGCATTGACTTACAAATAAATGGACGACGGGTCTAATACAAAAACCACGAAAAAAATGTCCCAAGTCAACCTATTAGAAATTTAAATTGTAATGTCATCGCAGTATAGCGCTGTCAGTAGAACAAATGAAGACTAAAGCGGAGTGTCGCGCTCTGTATACGATTTTAGCGCCTTACAAGTGCGGACACTTTTTAGCGCGGACCCGACGTCCATATAATTGTAAGTCAATGGGGAAAAGTGTCGTTTTTATTTTGACTTTCAATTATTTTGTGTAATCTAGTTTAAAGTGGAATAGGATAGTGCTATCGTGCCTTAATCGAAGATTAAAACGCGAAATTATACGAATCTCGAACTAAAATACCCTTATCGGCCCGTTCTAAGGAATCCCGAGTCAATCCAAGCACGCCGCCTCAAATTGCCTATCCTCTTTGTGGCGGCCATATTTACAGAAACATAATTCAACTTCATGTACCAAAAAAGGATAATGTACCAAGACTTGGCTGTATGGTGTAAAACCTTTGCCTTTTCCTTATGGAAAGAAGAAAAAAAAAAGGAACGTCATAGGAATACTTACGTCAAAAAGAAAAAAAAAAAAAGGAACGTCATAGGAATACTTACGTCAAATGTTTTTAAATATTTTCAATGTAATCGATACAAAAGTTGAAGTTGAATGTAATCGATAAATTTATTCAATGTGATCTTTGTGATAAAACAGAAAACTAGTAATTTATGTAAAAAAAGAATGTAATTCCATCCTTGGCTTGATTGAATGTAGCAGAGATTTTTTTGGAAGTTTGTATGTTGCAAGACGACATATTTCATGGAGCACTTGACGCAGTAAATTCGATAATGCAAATGAAAAAACATCATCATTTTTATGCGATGGTTGTTTTGTGCCCTTATGCACCTTGACAGAGGGGATTGCCTATCAATGACGCCACCGTTCCTTTATGCTCTTAGCCTTAGACTATTTTATTTTTTTCCATCCTCTAAGCCAAAAACGATGAGGCCAATTCATAGATATAGGATAAAATGGGGAGATATGTCATGACGGCTTAGAGGATGATGACGGTATGTAAGTTGAGTTACCGATGTTGCCGATTTTTAGCTTGTGAGCACGGATTTATATATTTCATAAACAAGTCCGTGCTTGTGGGCAATTCAAACTTGACGTTCTATTATCTACTACCATCACTTAACGATTTTGATTGGTTAGAGCGTAAAACATTAAAACGACATAACACAATTTTTAATTTGAACACAATTTATTAAACTTATAGTCTGTCTTTTTTGAAGACGGAGTAAAGTGACAGTTCATTGTGCAAAACTGTTACCTGATTTGATGTGATTTCAATCAATAAATATTCTATCGACTATCGACTGAATATTGGTCACGCCCAAGGAATAAATAGGCGAGCTTATTTCATTTGAGTCATCCTTGACCCATTATTCACCCAATTACAC